ATTGTATTAAAATAATATGTGTAATCATTCAATGAGGTATAACAGAGTTGGAAAATTATATAAATCAGACCAATTGCTAAACAACTTCTCTATAGAAAGTCTTTAGATTCTAGATAATATTCTTTTGAAAAGTTGTCAGATTCTGAACAACTTTCTTTTGAAAAGTGTTCAGATTCTCAACAATTTTTCTATAGCAAAAGTTATTATTCTGATTATCTTTTCTATAGAAAAAGTTTCAGATTCTGAACAGCATTTCTATAGAAAAAGTTTTCAGATTCTGAACAACATTTATAAAGAAAAAGTTGTCAAATTCTGAACAGCTCTTCCATAGAAAAGTTTCAGTTTCTGAACAACTTTTCTATAGAAAAAGTTGTCAGATTCTCAACAGATTTTTTAGACTCTGAACAACTTTTCTTTAGAAAAGTCTGATCGATTTTTCTATTGAGAAAGTTATTAGATTGTGATTAACTTTTCTATAGAAAAAATTCTCAAATTCTGATAAACCTTTCTATAGAAAAATCTAACATAATTTGATAAACATTTTTATAGAAAAAGTTAACAGAATTTGATAAATATTTTTATAGAAAAAGTTATCAACTTCCGATAAACTTTTCTACAGAAAAGTTTCAGATTCTAAACAACTTTTCTATAGAAAAACTTGTCAGATTCTCAATAACTTTTTTACAGTGAAATTTGTCAGACTTTGCACAACTTTCCTTTGGAAAATGTTATTAGACTCTGTTTGACTTTTCTATTGAAAAAGTTGTCATTGACTTTTCTATAGAAAAAGTTCACAAATTCTGATGAGCATTTCTATAGAAAAAGTTAACACCAATTTGACGAACATTTTTATAGAAAAGGTTATCAGATTCTGATGAACTTTTCGTTAGAAAAAGTTATCAGATTCTGATGAACTTTTCTATAGAAAAAGTTATTAGATTGTGATTAACTCTTCTATAGAAAAATTTATCAAAATTTTGATGAGCATTTCTATAGAAAAAGTTTTCAGAATCTGATTAACTTTTCTACAGAAAAAGTTATCAGAATCTGATGAACTTTTTTACAGAAAAGTTATTAGAATCTGAAGAACTTTCTTTTGAAAAAGTTGTCAGATTCTGATGAACCTTTCTATAGAAAAAGTTATCAGAATCTAATGAACTTTTCTACAGAAAAAGTTATCAGAATCTGATGAACTTAGCTACAGAAAAAGTTATCAGAATCTGATGAACTTTTTATAGAAAAAGTTACCAGATTCTGATGAACTTTTCTATAGAAAAAGTTACTAGATTCTGATGAACTTTTCTATAGAAAAAGTTATTAGATTCTGATGAAACTTTCTATAGAAAAAGCTATCAGATTCCGATGAACTTTTCAAAAAATTGTCAATTCCTGATCAACTTTTCGTTGCAAAAAGTTGTCAGTTTGTTATTGGACATTAAACAGTTTTTTCTATAGGAAAAGTTTTTAGTTTTTTCTCAACTTTTCTATAGAAAACTTATAACTTTTTCTATTCTTTGCCATAGAAAAGGTTGTAAATTTCTGACCAACTTTTCTATAGAAAAATTGTCCGTTACTGATCAACTTTTTTTATAGAGAAAGTAGTCAGTTTCTGATCTGATTCTGATCTAGATTCTGTTTTTTCATATATTATTATGTTGATTTCAGAATAGTAAATTTACACTAGTTTTTATAGTTTCCACTAAAAATAAATTTAACTACAATAGAGCGAAAGTTTCGAACAGTGAGAAGGTATAAATACCTATTACAAGAAGCTTTTCTTGATACTACATTTACTAGAATTTCGTCATATGTTTTACCACATGAGTAATGATTTCAAATTACTAAAATAATTAAAATTTGTAAGTAGGAAATTTCACAATTTATTGAAATGAAGAATAACAGTTAAAAGTTCACTAATTTAAAATTTTATTAAAAAAACGTAAAGTAATTAACAACTCCCATCTTTGAAGTAAAAAGCATTTTGAAAAAAGTACAAACTGCCAGACAGATGTTTCTGCATTAATTTTGTATAGAATCAGCTTAATAAAAACAACATGGACAAAAAAAGCTTTTTACTTTAAACATAATGTTTTATGTTGTTGCTTTCGCACAATAAAAGGGCCCTGAGCAAAGCTTTAATGCAGTTTTTTTTGTTGTTTTTTGGTTTATGTTTTGTTTTACAACATAGGAGGAAAATGAAATAAGGAAATGACGCGTTGTTTTTATGTTGGTGGCAATGTTTTTGTTGCTTGTACTGATGGTTTTTTTTATTAATGGTGTCTGTTAAAAAGGAAAGCTTTTCTATATTGTTTTGACTACTTGATTGGTTAAGGATATTTGTCGAATGTTTATAATATTTTCATGCAGGTGGTAAACTAACAAGAGCAAATAAATTAATATAAATGCCACTTAATTAAGTTACAACCCTCTAGCCCCACTAATTAACACAAAATATGTTGGTATTGGTTTGTGGTATCAACACATAAAGAGTGTAAAAAAGTCACGTTTTTTTTGTATTGCAAAGGAATACGTCATCGTCATTATGTTGCTGAAGGTTTGCTTCTGTATGTGGTAGGACGTCGTCTGGTTGTTGTTGTTCTTTGGATTTGAAGTTCATTAAACTTTTTAAAAAAATTGAATTTACACAATTTACAAAAAAAAAACATTTTGCAATAATTACCCGTTTATTTTTGTAGCTTCCCTAATTTGACAATAAATGAGCAAGCTTTAGAAACAAAAAAATGTATTAAAAAAAGCTTTAATTGTTTTTAAAAATGTCGTAAAGCATTTTTTTTAAAAGAGGATTTTTAGCCAATACTTGCACTTCTTATTGAGACTTAATTTTTTTAATGAAATTATTAAAAAAAAGAATTTATATTTTTTCACCAACATTCAAATTGTTGTTGTCAATTGTATTTACAATTTACAGTTATAAACAGCTTTACACATAATTACGTTGTCCATAAACATACATGTGTTCGCAAGAATATGTTTTGTTTGCAGCAGACAGTATGACCAACAAAACCACAGACAACCCAGCCCGCGGCTGGTCATACTAATAAAATAATTACTTTTCTACTTACGTTTTTCTATTTTTATAAAAATTGTATTTTATTAAATTTATCTCCGTTTTAATTGAAAATTTTCTTTAAAAAAACTTATTTTATTAAATTATTAAAAATTCCTTCATGATCTTTCCACACAACAACCACCTTCACCGGCTAAACTGTTTATCAAAACTGCCAAAATAAAGTTCTTTTCATATTTTTGTAATATTGCACACACATTCGTTCACACACATTCAATTGTTTGCTGTTTATTCTTAGTAAAAGCTTTTTGTATTCTTACTTTGGCGGAAGCTTTTTAAAGTCTGTTTTTTCGTTTATGTTTTATTTTTAACTCTACTATTAGTAGTGAGTGTGAGTAAAGCTCAAAGAAATAATTATTGTGTTTTTTAACATGAAGGGCTTTTTATGGGGTTCAGAGTTGCCAATACTTTCACAACAGGAGATTCGCGTTAGGGAAAACAATTTTTGTGATCACAGATTTCGATGTTTTTCTCAATTGGAAAGTTATTTGCAGAACAGTCTATACTCTTGACTATAGAACAGTCTATAGTCTTGACTATAGGACCGTCAATAGTATTGACTATAGGACCGTCAATAGTCTTAACTATAGAACAGTCTATACTCTTGACTATAGAACAGTATTGACAATAGGACCGTCAATAGTCTTAACTATAGAACAGTCTATACTCTTGACCTATGGAACAGTATTGCCTATAGGACCGTCAATAGTCTTAACTATAGAACAGTGATACTATGACTATAGAACAGTCTATTCTTGACTATAAAACAGTCTATATTTTGATTGTAGCACTGTATGATCTTGACTGTAGCACTGCCTATGATCTTGACTATAGTCTACTGATGTCTGGACTATGAATGTTCTATAGTCTGACTATGATGTCTATAGTCTGACTATGGCACTGTCTATAGTCGACTATAGAATGTTCTATAGTCAAGACTATGAATGTTCTATAGTCAAGACTATAGAATGTCTATAGTCAAGACTATAGAATGTTCTATAGTCAAGACTATAGACAGTGCCATAGTCAAGACTATAGACAGTGCCATAGTCAAGACTATAGACAGTGCCATAGTCAAGACTATAGACAGTGCCATAGTCAAGACTATAGACAGTGCCATAGTCAAGACTATAGACAGTGCCATAGTCAAGACTATAGACAGTGCCATAGTCAAGACTATAGACAGTGCCATAGTCAAGACCATAGACAGTGCTATAGTCAAGATCATAGGCAGTGCTACAGTCAAGATCATACAGTGCTACAATCAAAAATATAGACTGTTTTATAGTCAAGAATATAGACTGTTCTATAGTCAATAGTATACACTGTTCTATAGTTAAGACTATTGACGGTCCTATAGGCAATACTGTTCCATAGTCAAGAGTATAGACTGTTCTATAGTTAAGACTATTGACGGTCCTATTGTCAATACTGTTCTATAGTCAAGAGTATAGACTGTTCTATAGTTAAGACTATTGACGGTCCTATAGTCAATACTATTGACGGTCCTATAGTCAAGACTATAGACTGTTCTATAGTCAAGAGTATAGACTGTTCTGCAAATAACTTTCCAATTGAGAAAAACATCGAAATCTGTGATCACAAAAATTGTTTTCCCTAACGCGAATCTCCTGTTGTGAAAGTATTGGCAACTCTGAACCCCATAAAAAGCCCTTCATGTTAAAAAACACAATAATTATTTCTTTGAGCTTTACTCACACTCACTACTAATAGTAGAGTTAAAAATAAAACATAAACGAAAAAACAGACTTTAAAAAGCTTCCGCCAAAGTAAGAATACAAAAAGCTTTTACTAAGAATAAACAGCAAACAATTGAATGTGTGTGAACGAATGTGTGTGCAATATTACAAAAATATGAAAAGAACTTTATTTTGGCAGTTTTGATAAACAGTTTAGCCGGTGAAGGTGGTTGTTGTGTGGAAAGATCATGAAGGAATTTTTAATAATTTAATAAAATAAGTTTTTTTTAAAGAAAATTTTCAATTAAAAGGAGATAAATTTAATAAAATACAATTTTTTATAAAAATAGAAAAACGTAAGTAGAAAAGTAATTATTTTATTAGTATGACCAGCCGGCGGGCTGGGTTGTCTGTGTGTTTTGTTGGTCATACTGTCTGCTGCAAACAAACATATTCTTGCGAACACATGTATGTTTATGGACAACGTAATTATGTGTAAAGCTGTTTATAACTGTAAATTGTAAATACAATTGACAACAACAATTTGAATGTTGGTGAAAAAATATAAATTCTTTTTTTTTAATAATTTCATTAAAAAAATTAAGTCTCAATAAGAAGTGCAAGTATTGGCTAAAAATACTCTTTTAAAAAAAAATGCTTTACGACATTTTTAAAAACAATTAAAGCTTTTTTTAATACATTTTTTTGTTTCTAAAGCTTGCTCATTTATTGTCAAATTAGGGAAGCTACAAAAATAAACGGGTAATTATTGCAAAATGTTTTTTTTTGTTAAATTGTGTAAATTCAATTTTTTTAAAAAGTTTAATGAACTTCAAATCCAAAAGAACAACAACAACCAGACGACGTCTACCACATACAGAAGCAAACCTTCAGCAACATAATGACGATGACGTATTCCTTTGCAAATACAAAAAAAACGTGACTTTTTTACACTCTTTATGTGTTGATACCACAAACCAATACCAACATATTTTGTGTTAATTAGTGGGGCTAGAGGGTTGTAACTTAATTAGTGGCATTTATATTAATTTAATTTGCTCTTGTTAGTTTACCACCTGCATGAAAATATTATTAAAACATTCGACAAAATATCCTTAACCAATCAAGTAGTCAAAACAATATAGAAAAGCTTTCCTTTTTAACAGACACCATTAATAAAAAAAACCATCAGTACAAGCAACAAAAACATTGCCACCAACATAAAAACAACGCGTCATTTCCTTATTTCATTTTCCTCCTATGTTTGTAAAACAAAACATAAACCAAAAAACAACAAAAAAAACTGCATTAAAGCTTTTGCTCAGGGCCCTTTTTATTGTGCGAAAGCAACAACATAAAACATTATGTTTTAAAGTAAAAAGCTTTTTTTGTCCATGTTGTTTTTATTAAGCTGATTCTATACAAAATTAATGCAGAAACATCTGTCTGGCAGTTTGTACTTTTTTCAAAATGCTTTTTTACTTCAAAGATGGGAGTTGTTAATTACTTTACGTTTTTTTAATAAAATTTTAAATTAGTGAACTTTTAACTGTTATTCTTCATTTCAATAAATTGTGAAATTTCCTACTTACAAATTTTAATTATTTTAGTAATTTGAAATCATTACTCATGTGGTAAAACATATGACGAAATTCTAGTAAATGTAGTATCAAGAAAAGCTTCTTGTAATAGGTATTTATACCTTCTCACTGTTCGAAACTTTCGCTCTATTGTAGTTAAATTTTATTTTTAGTGGAAACTATAAAAACTAGTGTAAATTTACTATTCTGAAATCAACATAATAATATATGAAAAAACAGAATCTAGATCAGAATCAGATCAGAAACTGACTACTTTCTCTATAAAAAAAGTTGATCAGTAACGGACAATTTTTCTATAGAAAAGTTGGTCAGAAATTTACAACCTTTTCTATGGCAAAGAATAGAAAAAGTTATAAGTTTTCTATAGAAAAGTTGAGAAAAAACTAAAAACTTTTCCTATAGAAAAACTGTTTAATGTCCAATAACAAACTGACAACTTTTTGCAACGAAAAGTTGATCAGGAATTGACAATTTTTTGAAAAGTTCATCGGAATCTGATAGCTTTTTCTATAGAAAGTTTCATCAGAATCTAATAACTTTTTCTATAGAAAAGTTCATCAGAATCTAGTAACTTTTTCTATAGAAAAGTTCATCAGAATCTGGTAACTTTTTCTATAAAAAAGTTCATCAGATTCTGATAACTTTTTCTGTAGCTAAGTTCATCAGATTCTGATAACTTTTTCTGTAGAAAAGTTCATTAGATTCTGATAACTTTTTCTATAGAAAGGTTCATCAGAATCTGACAACTTTTTCAAAAGAAAAGTTCTTCAGATTCTAATAACTTTTTCTGTAAAAAAGTTCATCAGATTCTGATAACTTTTTCTGTAGAAAAGTTAATCAGATTCTGAAAACTTTTTCTATAGAAATGCTCATCAAAATTTTGATAAATTTTTCTATAGAAGAGTTAATCACAATCTAATAACTTTTTCTATAGAAAAGTTCATCAGAATCTGATAACTTTTTCTAACGAAAAGTTCATCAGAATCTGATAACCTTTTCTATAAAAATGTTCGTCAAATTGTGTTAACTTTTTCTATAGAAATGCTCATCAGAATTTGTGAACTTTTTCTATAGAAAAGTCAATGACAACTTTTTCAATAGAAAAGTCAAACAGAGTCTAATAACATTTTCCAAAGGAAAGTTGTGCAAAGTCTGACAAATTTCACTGTAAAAAAGTTATTGAGAATCTGACAAGTTTTTCTATAGAAAAGTTGTTTAGAATCTGAAACTTTTTCTGTAGAAAAGTTTATCGGAAGTTGATAACTTTTTCTATAAAAATATTTATCAAATTCTGTTAACTTTTTCTATAAAAATGTTTATCAAATTATGTTAGATTTTTCTATAGAAAGGTTTATCAGAATTTGAGAATTTTTTCTATAGAAAAGTTAATCACAATCTAATAACTTTCTCAATAGAAAAATCGATCAGACTTTTTCTAAAGAAAAGTTGTTCAGAGTCTAAAAAATCTGTTGAGAATCTGACAACTTTTTCTATAGAAAAGTTGTTCAGAAACTGAAACTTTTTCTATGGAAGAGCTGTTCAGAATTTGACAACTTTTTCTTTATAAATGTTGTTCAGAATCTGAAAACTTTTTCTATAGAAATGCTGTTCAGAATCTGAAACTTTTTCTATAGAAAAGATAATCAGAATAATAACTTTTGCTATAGAAAAATTGTTGAGAATCTGAACACTTTTCAAAAGAAAGTTGTTCAGAATCTGACAACTTTTTCAAAAGAATATTATCTAGAATCTAAAGACTTTCTATAGAGAAGTTGTTTAGCAATTGGTCTGATTTATATAATTTTCCAACTCTGTTATACCTCATTGAATGATTACACATATTATTTTATACAATAAAAAAAACCTCAACATGGTTGTGATTAAACCCCCCATAGACTGTTAAAAAATTTTTAAAAATAAAACAACAACTCTCTGCGAATATAATATCTTATAAAATAAAATTGCTCTTGTATACATAAATGGTCCACCACTATTTGGTTCAGACCCAACCATTATTAATCTTTTTACTCTACATACATACATATAAAGTTTACACACGTGATTTTTTCGTTACAATAATATTTACTACTTAAGTTGTGAATAAATATCTTTGCAAAATAAAATATGTATATATTTGTTCTGCTCAGAAGTTGTCGAAGTACCAGACAATAAATATGTATTTATATACATACATATATTATATATATGTATGTATATAACGAGTACCCATGTATGTACTTAGCGTATAGACATGTAATTATATATGAAGGAGTATGTCTGGCATGATGTAATGTGTATAAGCTTTTAAGTACGTATTCAGGATAATATATAGAATCGTTGAAGGATTTCTTTCTTATGTACTTATTCGAAATAAATATTTGCACTGAACTTTAAAAGTCAAGAAAATCTGCAGGACTTTTGTAAAGAAGCACAATTACAAACATACATTATAGCAATTTATTAAATATGTAAGCTATGAATTTGTATATATATAATTTATTCAATTTTACAAAATTGTTGTAAGATTAACTAAATTCAATTGATAAGTTCTTACAAACATTTTTTATAGAAAATTTGCTCTTAATTATACAATTTTGGTTTAGAAATCTAAAAATTTTTCATATAGAAAAGTTATTCAGAATCTGACAACTTTTTCTATAGAAAAGTTGGTCAGAATCTGACAAATTTTTTCTATAGAAAAGTAGCTCAGAGTCTGACAACTTTTTTCTATGGAAAAGTTGCTCAGAGTCTGACAACTTTTCTATAGAAAAGTTGCTCGGAGTCTGACAACTTTTTTCTATGGGAAAATTGTTCAGAGTCTGACAACTTTTTTCTATAGGAAAGTTGTTCAGAGTCTGACAACTTTTTCCTATAGGAAAGTTGTTCAGAGTCTGACAACTTTTTTCTATAGGAAAGTTGTTCAGTGTCTGACAAGTTTTTCTATAGGAAAGTTGTTCAGTGTCTGACAAGTTTTTCTATAGAAAAGTTGTTCAGAGTCTGACAACTTTTTCTATAGAAAATTGATCACAGTCTGACAACCTTTTTCCATAGAAAAGTTGCTCAGAGTCTGACATCTTTTTTCCATAGAAAAGTTGATCAGAGTCCGACAAAATTATCAATAGAAAAGTTGTGCAGAGTCTGACAACTTTTTCTATAGAAAAGTTTATGAGATTTTGACAACTTTTTCTATAAAAAAGTTGATCAGATTGTGACAACTTTTTCTATAGAAAGGTTGATGAAAATATTATAACTTCTTCTATAGAAAAGTTGATCGGATTGTAACAACTTTTTGCATAGAAAAGTTGATCAGATTCTGACAACTTTTTGTAAAGAATAGTTGGTCAGATTGTGATAACTTTTTCTATAAAAAAGTTGATCAGATTGTGACAGCTTTTTCTATAGATAAGTTGATTGGATTGTTAAAACTTTTTGTATAGAAAAGTTGATCAGATGTGACAACTTTTTCTATAAAAAATTTAGTCAGATTGTCACAACTTGTTCTATAACAAGTAAGAAAGTATAGTCGGGCGTGGCCGACCATATGATACCCTACACCAGTTATGAATATTAAATGTGATTTATTTTTCATAATAAAGCATTTATCTTCAATATTCCCTTGTTCCGATACATTTAAGCAATTTATGGATGAAAAACTAATTTTCTGAAAGAGGCTTTATATGGAGGCTAGGGGCAAATATGGACCAAGCCCGATAAAATTTAGTGAATATATTTATATTTACATAATATTTTATTGT